CACATGGAGCACATCCCCAAAGGAGACTTAACCTTCTTCTTACCGCTGAAGTTTTTCTGCAGAGGAGGCTAAAAGGCCTTGAATTTCTGGGGAGCATTTCCACCTCAGTCTCCTGGGGGCCGGCAGCTCGCTGACGGAGTCAGCTCGGACCAGCTTCTTGCTGCTCCTCATCCTGCAGGCACAAAGAAATGACCTTCTATGGCCCTGTGTGCCAGAAAGCTAGGGGCAGCATGTTTCTCTGCCCTCTGCAGTCATCTCAGTTGCTGGAAGTTCAGTGGGTATGTGCTGCCCCCCACCCCCTAATCCACTGCAGAGAAGCCACCCGAATTAGCAAGTGGTAGAGCCAGGACTCCATCCAGTCCACCTAACTCCAAAGCCCATTATTTCTTTTCACGTTTTCCTGTTTGACTGCATTATACCACTAACACTTATAAAACATTTGGAGAGAAATTGAAGCAAATGGTGCCGTGCTGTCTATGAGAGTTGGTTTGGGTTTCAGAGATCTTAAATCTCTTCCTAAATCATGGAAGAGATTCAGAATGTAGATCAGGGAGAAGTTTCTAGAAGGAGAGAATGAGCAAAATTGTAAATGAAGAAAGGAACTTGGTGTATTTAAAGGACAGAGAAGCCTTCTGACCAGCCAGCTTAGAAGGGAGGGAGAGACTCAGCTCGAGGGGATGGAAGGAGGTACAGCTCTGAGACCTTCCCTCTATGCTGGGTCATCAGTTGGCCCAGCTCAGACTCAGAACTAACAACAGGGATTGATCTGAGCTTCCCTGGACCAAAGCAAATGTTCCTTTTTAGCTGAGAATTCTTTGCCGAGCCCCTCCCTAACTGCCCTAAACTTGGCAGAAGTTGGTCCTTTCTGTCCATGGCTGATAAAGTGTATGATGTCTCATTAAACCTGGTTTGCAAATTCATCTTTTGCTAATACACTTTCCAGACTAATGTAGGCCCCCATGGCCACTCCAATTTTTCTTGGCCTAGCTTGGTGGCTGCTGGGCAGTCTGGCTTTGCCTCCACTGCTGCTCTGGAGGGGTCCTGCCTCTAGACTCACATATGCTTGAGCAAGTGCTCCGTGCACTGCACCAGGACGATGCCGTCAAATGGAGAGTGTTCACACACCACGCCGCAGGTGCCATCCCGGCCCACCACAAACTGCAATGAGGAGGAGAGAGGTGACCAGGCCTTCAGTAGACTCTGCGTTTCACACCCGCCCCATGGCTCCAGGGTAGGCCTCCTGGCCTCTCAAGGGACTTTCTCCTCAAAAACACCAAAGTATGTGATCTTCTAAAAAGATCGTTACCAGGGCCTGAGAATGTGGGTGTCTCAAACAGATCTAAACTATGTGACCTCCTTTTCAGAAATGATCTGGGCAGTGAAGATGCAGCCCAAAGTTTCTTGGCTGAAGTAGCCCAGTGATTGCTGACAAGCTTTGCACACTCTCCCCAGGTCGTGGGCAAATCCTTTCAGCTTCTGTTAGTCTTGTCTTCCCCTCGCAGTGTGTGTCAGGGCCACTATATTGTACTCCGTTGTGTGATGATGTGTTTGATGACCCCTATGTGTTGATTTTATTCCCAGGATCTAGACCAGTGTCTACACCATAGTAGGTGCTCAAGAATTTTGTTGAATGACTGAGTGAAAGATAACAATTTAATTTGAATGGCATGCAGATTCCTAGAGAGAAATAAAACCTCCCTTGATGAGAATGAGCAAAAGGTGTGCTGAGGGTGCCCCATTAACTGCTGCATGGGCTTTGTGTCAGGGACCTGAATTCCATTTCTGATGTTGCTGCCTGCTAGCTGGGAGAGCTTTCACAAGACACTTCAACTCTCTGGCTTCAGTCGGCTTGCCTTTAAAATGGATCCATTAAAGCTGGTACACAGGATTGATATAAAGACTAGAGAGAAGGTATATGAAAGGATCACAGGAACTGTAGATTACTCATGATTTTTTTCATGACCTTACAAAGGCTGTATTTAGCTGACTTGGAAAAAGAACATACTCGGTGCATAAAAGAACTGGGACAAAGTAATAAAAATGAGATTTGATTCTTAAAGCAAAACCCGAATGAATTAGGGTCATCTTGTAACCCATCCAGCACAACATCACACTCAAGAGTTACTAGGCCACCATCCCAAATCAAACAAATAAACAAGCTATTGAAATCTTTTCCGGGGCACACCTGAGATGACTCCATGTCTCCCCAATCTCTCACATAGTTGTCAGTTGCCCAAAGCTTTACTCCCATTCTTCAAACTTCCCATAGAGTTTCTCTCAAAACTCATCCCTACAGACTCTTTTCTCTCTCCCTTAGAGTCCTCTACCTTTCTCGAGCCTTTCTTCACATTCAGAGCCCATCGGGCTTCTCCAGCTCACCTGCTAATCTGTCCTGCCTTGAAGAAGAGCCCAGAGGTGTGCACAGTCACCCATGTGAGGCAGGAGGGAAGCACTGTGCCCACTCACACATTAGTGTTTTTCTGTCCCTGTCATTAAAAGAAATAGAGGCAAATGGTGCCTTTTAAAAACTGCTACAAAGCTTTACTATGTTTCAGGTCTTGTACATCCATTATATCATTTCACTCCCACAGCTGCTCCGTTAAAGATTACAAGCCATTAGCACTGCTGGTGGAGGCTGAAACAGCCAGCACACCAGCAAGAGAACTCATCAGAAATTGCAGAATCAATATGCAAATCAATAAAAAGGATAACCTGCAGAATGTACAGGACAGAGAAAGAGAAAAATAAGCCCAAAAACGCTTATCAGTGTGAGTGATGCTAACCCAAACACAGAGATGGTCGGCTACTATTTAATATGGTCATTGTGAACGTGTAGTGGCTTTAAAAATATACAAGATTAGATTCAGGATTGGCATGCTGGGGAAAAAAGAATGGAAGAATAGGAACGAATGGTCCAAACTCGACCTCATCCCCACCTGTGTGAGTGTTTTTCTCCAGGTCAAAGTGAGTGTCTTGTTTCTGGCTTGATGTCATGTGAATGAAAAAAATATGAATTGCTTTATTTCATTTTATGGCTTTTCTTCTGTGGAGATGCTGGGTTGCTCTACTTCTCAGAAATGGAGGGACATGTGCTAAAATGGCCAGACAAGGGCGACAGAAAAGCTAACATATCTGGACATCAGATGTGATTCTTGCTGAATGTGTTGAGGATTTGTTCAGTGGGAGCCTGAGGCATGCCCACACCTTACAGTGTATGATGGGAGATGGAAAATGAGCCCCAGGTCCCACCCAGAGAGTTCCCTGGCCTGGCACAGGCTGCAGAAGGTTAGGTAGTTTGAGTTGGGTTTAGCCACTTGCTCTTGAGAAAAGTCCTGGCCAGTTCATAGGTTCATACCAATGGCACATCTCTAGTCACTTCAGCTCCCTTGGCCCCACACACAGCATCCTGGGCAGCAGAGGCCAGTGAGTGAGTGTGCCAGATATAAGCACAGTGCTGGCTCGGGCCACTGGCCACGCCGCAGGGGATGCTTACCTGCAGTGACTTGTCATACCAGCGGTTTGCCCCATTCTTGCTGCAGCCTCCACCATGAAGGAGCTGGAGCGCCCTGTTGGTGTCACTGAGCTCCAAGCCCCCTGGGGCATCCAGGCAAACTAGGCAGATGCAGCGCTCAATCATGTCCAGTGAGTCCCGGTTGGTAGAGTCTGCAGGGCAGACAAGCAAAGCCTTAGCACTGCCCCACCTGAGGCCTGGGGTTCCCTCTGCACAGCCCCATATACACCAGAGGCAGGCAGATACACACATGGACACCCAGATCTTGAGCCAGTCCTCACCCCTCTCCTATTCCAGTTGGTGGGCCATGAAGTCGGCCAGACTGTCCTGAGCTTCTGTACTAACCCCAGGGCTCAGCTCATCCTCAGAGTCCCTGCAGTAGTCCCTCCCTCCAGGTGTGGCCAGTTCTGCCTCCAGATGTGTGGTCATTGGTCCTGCTTGACAGGATGAAGGGGGCTGGTGTAGGGCCTTCTCCATGGACGTTAGACACTCAGACCAGCCTATGCCAGGGGAGGAGCTCCAATCCCTTCATTTAACAGCACCCCCCCCACACACACACACTAGTACCCAAAAGCCACATCTGGCACATAGGCATGTTTATTTGTCTTGAACCATGATTTTCAAACATTAATTACTAGAATTTAAAATTAGTCAATTTCATATGAATATTTGAAGTAAGAGAGTAAGAATGCTTCTCTCCCTGCCATCCAGCAGTTATGTCGATATAGAGGGCAGATGGAAGAGCCAAGCTGCCCTGAACATGTATCCAGATGGGGGTTATTTCAGGCCTGTGGAACTCATTAGGACAAATAGGTTAAAAGCCACTGAGTTGTGCAGGAGATGTGTCACCAAAGGAACTTGACTCCTCCATGGGAACATTGGGCATGGAGTTCCTCCCAGAATAGAGCTGGGCTGGCCAGATGGGCTGCAGGCAGCCTCCTCCACCAAGCACAAGAATGTTCACAAAGCCTGTCCAATGGGACCCGACCATGGCCATGGCTGGTGCTGCTGTGTGTCCCCTCTCCCAGTCAGGAGTCTTTACAGTATTGATTGTGTTCTTTTTTCACCATCCTATACATGGTGTGGCATCAGGACCCAACAGGGAGGCTGTACATCTCCCAAAGATCAAGACTTCTGGGCTAGATGCTGTAATAGGATGAGGGTTACTGCCACACTCCACAAGTCCCAGAATATTCTATGCATGGGAAAATGGGGAGTGTGGTATTTGGAGGCAAAAGGGCATCATGTGTCAGAGATTGCTAGTTGCATATTGCAATATCCATTCCCCTTTTAGTCATAGGGTGCCTGGTTTTCAGCTTGGCCTGGGGACAGCCAGAACCAAAGCTACATTGCCCAGCTTCCCTTATGGCTGGAAGGAACCATGTGTCTAAATTCTGCCAACAAGATCTAGAAACATGATAATGACATCTTCCAAGAAACCTCTTTAAAGATAATTAGCATATGCTCTTTGCCCTTCTTCCCACCTTCCATTCTGCGACCTAGAACAGAAGTGTGATGGCCAGAGCTCTAGTCTCCATTTGGAACCATGAGGATGAGGGCCACGCCCCTGCAATGAGATGGAAGAACACTAGCCATTATGTATCAGCTCTGGCTCACCAAATTTAATCCTAACTTATACTGTTATATACTGGTGATGTTGAGTTCACATTCTTACATTGCAAGAATTTGCTGGAGCTGAGAAGCTGCACCCTTGGTTTGCCACAATCCTCTATCATTTATTTATCCCATTTGGTTGCTACATTTAAATTCCAGGTCCTTGCCCAGAAGCTGTTCTCTTTGTGGGAGAGAAGCATACTGAGGATTCCTCCAAGATGACAGTCAAATCCTTCCCTGTTCCCTTTTGTCCCAGCATCAAGGCACTCACTTGGGCGTCCCTGGCCCTGGGTGATGACTTTTTTATTTTCTGAAGTCAGCCTAGGCATGCAACCCTCTACATGTGCAGCCACATGCACCTTTCAGCTCCTGCCCCTCCCCCTCGCCACCAGGATCCCAGTGACCACTGAGTCAGAATGCCTGCTTTCAGAGCCCCTGGCTCTAGAGGCTTCTCTTCTTCCAGAACCTCAAGCTAAGAATTATGCCCATCATTGATCATAGGCATCTGAAATCTGCCTTCCTGAAGTTCAAGGAATGTATGGGAGCAGCATCTGTTTCTACTCTTAGGCTCAAGGTCCCCCTTCATCTTCTATTTATCAGCCAGATCCTGCCTATGGGTCAAAGCTAAGCATAACAGCATCTACCCTGGTCAGTGGGAGGCTGAGTCCACACACAGCTCATGCTGCCAGTAGGGGACAACTCCAGGAATGCACCCGTCCTCTTCTCGGACTGGCTAGGGACAAGGGGTGGCTATCGGTGAGGTCCTGTGTGCTCCTCCTACTCTTGGCCTCGCCCTGGCCTCTCTGGGCTGCTCCCTCACTCAGGCATGTGATGAGTTCCCCTTGCTGTCAGCCTTGAGTGAGGCAATCCCTAAGACCCTGCTCTGGGATTCCTCAACACTTGCTGGGCACACAGATGCTAAGGCCACCTGTGCTGTTCCCTATTTCAGCCCAGGTGATTACTCCAGTTTCATGGAAGGTTTCCACATGTCTTCATGTGAAAGGAGTCTCTAGTTCCCACCCATCCCATTCCTCCCACTTTTTGAAAATCCTGGGGGAAAGAGCCATCGCTCACAGCAGGCCTTCCACTCTGGAGAGTGAGCAGCAAGCCGGCCCATTCTCGGTCATCCATTCCTCCTTGTCTAGAATGAGGGTTTGGGGAGTACTGTCCTTTCAGATGCCTCTTGACCTCTATGGGGCTAGGATGACTCATCACCTTCCACATGGCCTCTTGGGCTCTCCTACCTCAGTCTGATCAACTTCAAGGCTTTGGGCCCTGCCCTAAGGAGCTAAAGGTAAATGAGACTCTCATCATTTTCCTGGAGAAACTTGCTTTCCCTCTGCTCCTTAAGTGTGGTGTAGTCACTGCATCACACCTTTAACCTAAAACAGTTCCTCCTGCCCATCAGGTAGAATTCAAACTTCTAAACACAGCCCCTGGGCTCCAGGGCTCACCTCTGTTGCCCCCTGACTCCCTGCATGGACCTCACACCAGCCTCCTACCACTCTCTGGGCACCTGTGAACAGGATTGTCTCCAGAATAGGGGCCCTTCTCCCACTCTGCCTATCAAAGCTCTGCTCCTAGAATCCTCCTGAACTCTGTAATCCTCTAACAGTGCTGGCCCTGTGCCCAGGCATGGTGAGAGCAGCCCAGACAGAGTACCCGCCCTCTAGGAATTCTCATACCTGGAGCCACCTGCTCAGTGCTCTGTCCACCAGGCCAGCCTCACACAGCACTTGGGCCCACTGTATCCTACCTCATAGCATATGCCCCTATAGCTCATGACCCTGCCACTGTCCCCAGAACCCCCATGTTTCAAAAAGTCACTGCCAGTCCAGCCGCAGAAGCCCTAATCTGGTCCCCTTTCCCCATATCTGTGAGCTCACATAGGGTGGGGCCTGAGTCATCACCTTAGGCAGACACAAGAAAGTATCCATGGCTTACAATGGACAGATGAGGCTGAGATCTGTGTGCACAGCTCAGAGAGGGGATCCAGAAGAGCCCTGGCAGCACACAGGAAAGGGCCATGTCCTCTGGAGGGTCAGAAAACCACTACTTTTGGGGCATAGAGCCTCATGGCAGAGAGAAGGTTAGGGAGGAGATGGGAAAGGATTCCTTACCCTTTGCAAGGCTCCAAACCCTGCCCCTCTCTGCTCTAGTACGAGTCCCTGCCAATGTCCATGGTTCCTGGCCCTGTACCGTGTGCTGTTCTAGGGGTTCCCTTGGGCTCACAGGCTGGCCAGTGACTTCAGAACATGGGAGGGCTTGGCCAGGCCTGGGTCAGATTCAAATACGCAGAGAGGAAGGGAGAAGCGTGTCAGGAAGGAGATAAGAGTGGTCTGAGGACTGGAAGGTAGACACCCATGCTTCTGTGTGGAGCTTATGGGTGAAGGCATGCAGGACTTAGGTGAGGCTGGAATGACATTGTAAAGTGATGCTAACCTTTGTTGAACACCTAGTATGTGCCAAACATCAATCTAAGCACCCATACTAATGAATATGGGACACACACTATTATCAGTGCCACTCACAGGTGAGGAGCAGAGAAGATATGTGTCTTGCTTAAGCTTACCCAGTTAAATGGATGGAGCTGGGCTTGATCTAAACTCAATGCCTAGACTATGAGCAGATCATCAAGGATGGAATGGCAGCATCAGGAATATGGACTTCATTTAGCAACAGCAGGGAGCCACTGGAGGATCTGGGCACAGGTTGATGTGATCAGAGCAGAGTCTAGGATGCTTAGCAGCTTGGGAAGGCTGTGGGCCTGGAAGCCTGCCAAGTGGTCATAGGCAGCCCCAATGCTGCCTACCTTGGCTTTTTCAGCCATGTCCTGGTGAGCTCTGGGAGCCCAAGCTTGGTATCTGCCTACTCCAAGGTTTCCTTAGGAAGAGCTCCAAGGCCAAAGTGGAGTGAGCAAGTTTCAGCTCTCCAGGAAGCCCATAGGAGTCCAACCAGGATACTGGGGAGCAGGCTTGACATTGCATTTAGATAGGAGAGTGGATGCAATGCACACTCCTTCCTAGCTAGGCAACTTGAGGCAGACAGCAAAAAAGGATAGCTTCTTAGGCATCAGTGCCCCACCCTCCTCCAGACAGAAGAGAGGGTCCCTGGGAAGGGCTGAGCCATCACCACTGCATGCTGGTTGTGCAGGACTTTGGAGCTAAGCACCAATCAACAGGAACCAAGTCCTGGCTCATTAGACAGAGTGAAATGGAAGCAGGACAGCCAAACAGGGATGCCAGGTGGCCTTGCAAATGAACTCCCTGCACACAAGGAGCTGATCGGTCAAATGCTGACAAGTTTATCATGTAAGGCAGAAAATAAACTACAGCCTAATTCATTCACCATGACTCTGGTCCAAATGTAATGGAAACAGGGAAGTGGGCTGGAGGCACATGGCAGGGGCCGTTTGTCTTGTGACATCCTCATCAAGCACACGGAGGCTCTTTAATGTGGTAAATCAATCTTCCTCAAGGAGTCCTTGCTTAATAGTGAGAAGTCTGAGTTGAGTAATAGGAGGAGCTTGCTCTGCCAC